AAAGATCCAACAAAACTGTTTTTTGGAGACGAAATGGCCTTTAACAAGCTCACTGATGTACGAACTTCTAGTTGGTTAAGTATTGGTGACATCCTTCCGAGTGTTGAGCCAAAGCGAGACATAAGAGAAAAAATATTGCCTTTGCAGTGGTAGGTTACAATGAAGGAAATGTTAATTGCTATCTAGTTTCCGGTAGCTTCAATGCAGTTTCCATATCAAATGCCATCGAGTATCCCTTTCTACCCTACTTACCAAGAGATAGTTTTCTGGTTCTTGACAATGCACAACGACACTTAAGACTACCGGGTTCCACTCGTGCTAACGGAATGGCGAGCCCCATAAATGCTTCCGCAGGGGGAACAGTTCCAGTGGTACAGTCATTTTACAGGAGGAGCTGGCAAGTGCAATTTTAAGCGTAATTTCATTTAATTAATGAAACAGTTTTGTTATTTTATATCATTCACCCTCACTCTGTAGTAATTGTTTTTACATAGTGTGTAGCCACTTATTCGATCCAGCACATCTTATGCTAAACTCGTTCATTCCACATCGCATTCTTATTTTTAAGAACGTATTTCTAGAAAAGTAAATTTATCGTAGACATATACTTGCTTAAGCTCCCGGTTTAGTGTTGTCAAAATGTTCTAGTCGACCACTGTATTTAAGCTTAACTTATACGTTTTAAGAGTATAGACTGCAGGTCGAGGCCAGGATTGAGTAGACCACTAGCTTGCAAGTTTTAGGTGTTGCTCTTGCTGTATTTATGATCATTATTTACCAATACGGCAACCCTTCAAAAAGAAGATTATTAGCCGGTCGGGTACTATAAGAACAAACTTAGCTTTAAAATTACTTAAAGCAACTTAAGGTTAAACTTCTGTTACTACTTTATTTAGGCTAAAATATCCCATTCAGTGATCGATTCTCCAATAATTAATTGAATGCACAGTAACAAACTTACATTCAACCGATTTACCCAGTACAATGTTTTGCACAAAGTCTGGTTATGATAAATAACCAGAATCCTTTCTTTCAAATCAAACCTTATATATAGATATAGCCGGGGCTAAAAGCGAAGCTCTCGATAATATTTATAGTTTGTTCAAACAAAATATAAAATCGTGTCATTGGTATGCTTGAAAGTTGATATCAACTAAACTTTCAAATGAACAGCAAATCTTTCTAAAAGAAACAGGAGGAACTTGACAAAATTGCACCCTGTTAGTTTCCTTGAATGTAATTTTTGAATAAATAAATCTATGAACAATATTTGTAATTTTGTAATATTGTAAAGCACTATTGGATATAGCTGGAAATGGAGTTATATAAATAAAGTATTATTATATTTTTTTAAGTGTCAAACCATCCTGGCCATTCATTAATTAACAGCACTTGTGATAGTTTCAGTGCTCGATTGCAGGGCTGTCAACCCCCCAATGACGTCATTTGGGCAAAAACTTCTCATTGACTCCAATTGTCACCAAATTTGCGATGACCCAAAACTCACAAAAACCAGTAAGATTATTAACAATAGCATACTGGAGGTCATGAGGAAATGTTCTATGTTGACAAAAAATAGCTCAAACAATGCTCAAAATAGTTGAAATTGCACTGCAGGACAGTCGAGTCTACTGAAGAAATGGCATACTTCAGTGATTATTCAGGAGATTTCATTCTCTAATCTGGAGAAAGGGAGATGTCTCCAGAATTTTCCAGGAGAGTTGACAGCAGTGAATGCTATTGACACAAATGTGTATTAGGCCTTCTTAAAGTACCAGTGAATATCCACGTCGTGACCCTTTCAGTTAGTACGTGAAGTTCCGATAGTAACGACCCCCCGAAATTAACAATGGGCAAAAATCATGAAGAATTGTATCACCTCTTACATGGTGAATTGTGCGTTGCTGTTGATTGGTTTAGGAATAATGGAATGTTGACAAATCCAGAGAAATTTAAATCAATGATTCTTGGATTGACAAATTTAGATTTCACTTTTGTTATTGATGGCATTATAATTTAGAGACGTGATAATCTTGATTTATTAGGAATAAATATTGATTCAAGACTTAGTTTTGATAGGCACACCCAATATATGTATCAAAGTATACTGCAAGTGATGAGCCGTTTTAGAAACCTCGTTTCCAGAGATGTCAGAGCACGGCAATACAAAGCTTTCATACTTCCTTATTTTCAATACTGCAGTGCCGTCTGGCATTTTTGTGGAGTAAGCAATAAGAGGAAACTGGAACCACTTAACAAACAAGCACTGTGATCAGTATTTAACGATGTAAACGTCTCTGTTACATGTCCTAAACTGAATATTTAATGCATTGCAATCACTAAATATTACAAGATGTGCAAAGGTGTAAAGTATACAAAGGTCCGTGTGGTAATATGGTAATAACATGTTGGTGCAATAAAGCATGTGATACATAGTTATGTAACAACCTCCCTCTATGAAAAAAAAACCGCAAACAAAAAACAAGCAAAAAGAAAGCAAAGAAAACTAGTTCTATTAAAACAGTCTCATCTTGACGTAGTCTCTGAAACGAGTTCTATGAGAGCAGTTGTTTTACATGACGTAGTCTCTGAATCTTGAAGGCAGTCTGTGCTCACGTTGTGATCAGCGCGGTCCACATTCTATCATTGCACGTAACATGTCTTCTGATTCGATTCTGGTTGTGCTGGGCATTGTTTCTCCTGTTGAGTCAGCATTTGGTGGTTGTCTCTCCTGTTCTTGCTCTGAGTGCATAGATGCGATTTCAAGCTGGTCCATCACTGTGCTGTATCCATCAGCTGACTGCTTTCGCTCTCCTGATTTGGCAATGATTACGGCGAACTGGTCCCATTGCTGTTTTGACCACGCAGGACCTTGGTGTGGGCTTTTCTACTACCTCCCCATGGATCCATGGTTGAGACCTGTTAGTGGGGAGGGGTTTGAGGTACAGTTTTCCTCCTTCTGTGAACTCTCTAAGTGAGGTTAGTGCCTTGTTGTACTACACCTTTGACCTATTTCTCTTTTCTGCAATGTTTTCTTGTACAACCCTCGAACATGCTAGTTTTGGGATGAGCGGACTGGTAGCTGTAGGAATAATGTCCTGAGGTTTTCAGGACATCAAGCGCTCAGCAGGGGAATAGTCGTAGCCTTCTTGGGGTGTGTTTCAGTACACTAAGAGAGCAAAGTACAGGTCCTCATTATGTGATTTCTTCAAAATATTCTTGCCAAACTTGATTGCTGATTCTGCCTCCCATTTCCTTGGCTGTGGTAGGGTGACGATTTTGTACTGACTAATAAATGAGACGTGAGAATTCAAGACAATTGCTCACACTCATTTACACGTGTTTTGGTCAGGATCTTGAACTCATGGGATATTTTGTCTGTAACTATTGTTCGATGTAACTAAATATAAGGTATCTGTTCCACCTTTAACTGAAAGAAATGATATAATGATCGGTAACAGCATTACACTGTTACCTTTTCCCCAATTTAATGTCGGGTTCACATCTCATATACTTTACAGTTCTTAAAGCGCTAACTTCCAGCATAACCTGACACATTACATAACAAAACTTGAGATGCATACTATTCCCACCACTAAGAATGAGATGCATGAAGTCATGCAATTACACAAAGTTCCTTTTTGAATCAAACAGTGAGGTTTAAAGGTCAAACCGGGTCAATTTTAGCAATGCAATGGGGAAACCTACAAGAAGTATGAAAAACGAGCCTTTAAGGTTAAAATACCCACTTTTGTGAGTTTCGAAATTGGAAGTGTTAACACAATTACTGCCGGTCTACCATTCTGATCTCTGATGGGGTCTTTTAAGATTTCCTTCAATAAGCCAAGCCAATTCCCAGGTATGTTTTAAATCAATGTCTAAGTGTGTGATTTAATAGCATGAAGATAATTTGGAGTTACATCACATGATGAATATTGCTGCTGAGTACGACTCTCGCTAATACTCTGTTCACTGAATGTGTCCAAATTCCTCCATGTCCCTTCATTTGTGAACGCAAGGAAAGCTGATGTTAGCGAATTACCACAGTGTGAGACTCCTACATCGAGGTTTCTTATCTAGCTAAAAGCTATCTATGCACATAGAATAAAAGACATTGATTCCTTAACTCCTGCAACAAAATCAAGATTTCGCTTGATTTTTCCTGACCATTGCCCTACACCAGCAAGAGATACTTAACTGGTTAACCGACGATTTTCGATGTTACACTGAATATACAAGTAATAATGTATTCGAATACTATGGAAGCATGTTCTGGTCAAAATCATCATAATAAAATGGCAACACAACTCCCTTCTTGTCCAGTGTAGCACTTATTATAGAGTCGTTGTGTAGTTTTATCATCACTACACATTACTTTTTTTAGCATATTGCTAATTAATTTTCAGCACCAGGAATTATTTATCACTACTAGATTATTTTAGATAGTTCTACGAATAAATTCTTGATTCATGCCACAAACTCTTCTTCACTGGTGCTGTGAATAAATTTTACAGCTGGTGTTGAGATTTATTTTTTCATTGGCTGAGATTTTTTAGTATTGCGAATGAGGGGGACTGGCTCTAATACATAATCTTGCTTGTTTTCATTTAGTGTATCAGCCATTCTCGTCCCCAGAGCCGCTTGGCCCTCTTAACCGTCGGAGACTGAGCACGAGGGCCGAAGGGCTTTGGGGACACAGAATTTGATTGGCTAGTTTCAAAACAATAAAATCTAAAACGGAAGTAAAATTTCTGGCGTGGAGAGTGGAGTGGCTGATTTGATATGGCGCGAAAAATTAAACTCGAGCAAAGAGAATAATTTTCGCAATGGAGGTCTTCAACGAAGATTCTCCACAGAAGCCGACTGTTAGCTTTGACAACATTTGTCGGACATGTAACCGAACGGTTTTAGAACGAAATCACCCCGTTGATTTATTTGGCAAGAAAATGAGCTCCCTGTTAATGCAAGTCGTAGCATTTTTATCTGGGAAAAAAATTTCGATGGAGGATAATTTTCCAAGAAAAGTTTGTCAACCATGCTTTCGCAAGGTGATCAGCATCGCAGAATTCAAGTCAATGACTCAAGCAAGTCTTTCTTCCCAAGAGCAAACTCTAGCGGCAGCAAAAGTTAAAAGACTTCGCAGTTGTCAGCAAGTGGGCGATTCCCCTTCGTCCAGTCAGAAAAGTAAAAAACGTGTTGCCGCGAGATATGTTCGAACAAGTCTCTTCTCTACAGATGGCACTACCGACAAAACGTCTTCTCAGTTGACAAAGTTCATACCTATCGCGCCTAAACCTACCACCAATACTCAACGGATCCTTCCTGCGTTTTTACGTATCGATGAAGCGGGGAAATCAGAGGAGAAGAAAGAGAAAGCGAAGCAAGTTGAACCATCTGTGCCGGAAAATATCATGAAGCAAAGTGGTCTGCGAAAATATCAGGTGTGTATGCCGGATGTTTTTGTTTCATAAGCTTCCTGGTTTGTTGTTATTCATGTTGTTACACTCTGTATTTTTTATTTATAGAGCACTGCTTCTGTTAAGATTAATTCGACTGATGCGCAGAAAATCCAATCTAGTGTGAGCAAAGGAAATGTTCAGTTAATCGCCGAAGCAGTAATGAGCATTGAATCTATCAAAAAGGCAGTTAAAGAGCACTTCCTAAAAGACATTGACAAGCAGTGCCAGAACTTATGCGTCCATAAAAAAGGAACTCCTTCAGTGCTGAAAGTGAATGAAAGTTCTTGTGTTGACGCCCTTAAGAGTTTTACCTGGGAAAAAGTAATGATTGAATTGAGAGACTGGGCTCCAGATGTGTTAGATGTAATGACAACTATTTGTAAACAACCGTCGGTGACTCACGTTCCTGCAGTTTGTATGGGCTATGCTATTTTGATGTATCACAGGAATTCCAAGCTGGGATTGCTTCAGAAGCTATTGACAGTCATGATGGGGTCTGGTGGATGCAGTCGTAGGGTACGTACAATATAAACACCAAAGGTGAGGAGGTACGGTATTAATTGAAACAACAACTTGATTGGAGAGGGGGTGGGGGTGGGGGGCTTTAAAGAAAACTAATTTATAATGTGAATAGATAAAAATGATTTGCCCTTTAATCAGTCTTACTGTCAATCAAAATGCCTAGACAGTATATTATTAACCGAGAATGAACCCAATGTTTTATTTTGAAACAGCAAAAAACAGGTTACAAAAGGATCCAATTATTTACTAAACTTTGTTAATAACAATCAAATAACTATTTAACAAGTATTTACCAAAGTGGAGGTAAAAATGCGGTAGAGGTTTACTGACTTGAAAAGTGGCAAGGCAAAAATTCACCTCTCCTCACTGACACTGAGGTAAATAATTGTTTTAGTGGTCTTTAGTATACCATATATACCAAAGCAGTGGATAACCAGCCAAAAATATTATAGTTAGATTATTTCTCATAAAATGGGGAAAAAGTTTGTGAATGAAATCCAGAGGTGGATATACTGCCAGTATTCTAGGTTTTAGTAGCCAATCAGAGTGTATGAAAAACACTATCCACTAGTTTGCTATTTACTAATACTAGTTTCTTTACAAACACCTCTTTGGCATGGATATTTATTTTAAATCCAAGACAGACCAAACATAAACTTCAATTGCTCACATCGACTCACATCTGTCCATTAATGTTGTTTAATTTTTTCAGACCTTTACTTGCTTGAATGCTTTAGGCATCACCCAGTCTCAGAAGACGTGGGTCAGGACCATGGACACAATTAGTGATGCTTTGGTACCAAAGATCCAGAAGCTGGTGCGGGCAGGTGAAGAGCTACAGGTTAATTTTGACAACCTTGACTTCCGTATCTTAGCAAATCAAGTTCTTTCAAATCATCGCAACACGGATGTACACTGGATTAACCAGTATATTACATTTGACAGGGTGCCATCAGGTCATCTTGACAGCACAAAACCACTGGCAGATTTGAAGGAACTTCCTTTGACTGAGTATTTACTTAGTAAAGATGAGAAAAAAGAGCTAAGAAGTACCATGATCACATTGGTGACAAGAGTGTTAACAAAGATGATGCCATCCCTAAATCACATTAAGGAGGCTGTCCCCAAGCACATTCCCCACCCTCACAGTAAAGAGATGGCCAAAAAATCGGTTATAATTGGTTTACCTGTACAGCCATTTAACCAATCCAAGCATGCTGATGTTATCCAGTACCTTGATTATATGGAAGGCCTCCTTGGTACAATCTATACACCAGAAGACCATCAAGTCCCAGCAAATGAATCAACAGAAGAAAAGCAGGCAAGAATGGACAGAATCTTGAATGGTGTTAAAGTACCCCTTGGTGGAGATCAGCTAGGGAGAGAGAGGGTGACTGGAGCCAAGAAATTACGCCTGGGGTGTGACAGTGCTTTGGCATGCAAAGCAGGCCTTCCTTAGTGTAAGTGAAATGGTCTAGCTAACAAAAATAACAAATATATAAAACAATAATAATTAAAGTAGTAAAATGTATGATAACAAGTGATAATATTTATGATTATCTTTATGATCATTATTATAACAACAAAAACAATAGGATATGAAGGTAGCAATCATGTCTGAAGTTAGCACCATTAATTCTTTGGGGCTTTTATTTCAGTATTGTCAAAAAATAAATCAGCTAAAAACTGAAAATATACAAACATATAGAATTGGAATTTACAACAATACTAGCTAGAATGCACTATTTTTGTCTGTAATTTATATTACAATTGTACAAAAAAAATGTTCTGTGATTTAATTAATAAGAGACCTGTGATGAAAGCTTTCATTTGCTAAACGTGAATCCACATATCAATTGAATTTATAATTTTTTCTGCGTGCCATGTACTGTTAGCCTCATTTACTGCATCAACACTGCTTTGCAGGAGGAATCTCCCTGACTCTTTTAACCTGTCTGTTGTTAAGACATTTATATTTTATTACTGGGTTTAGAAAGCAGTATTACATTGTTTATTATTAACCTAATACATAATAAACCATTTTACTTTTCAGTTGATCTGGGAAAAGCTGTTCAACACAAAGTCCTCTCGTGACATTGGTACCCTCTACTACTTTAGACAAAAGTTTGGTAGAACAAATGTTCCTACCCATGTGAAAAAAAACTACAGTGGTGCAGAAGCCCTTGTCCTTCAAGTGACTCGAGCTCATATTTGTGAAGCCTTCATGACTTGGGCAGGAATGGAAGACATTGACTCAGAACCATCCTGTCTCAGTCTTCCCGAAAAGTCAGCATCTCACCAGGAGAAGATTGCTTTTGTTGAAGAAAACATTGGCAGTTTTGTAGACAAGTACTGCATGGTCCATGCAGATGTTGAGGAAGCATGGGCTTTAGATGAGGAGCAAAGGCAGTCTCTCAGAGAGGATGGAAATAGATTACATGCCAACCAGACAGCTGCAGGTGCACCACAAGATCTGTATACACCAGGTATCATGTTATCAATTAACACAATATCCAGACTTGTAATTCAAATGTCTCCCTTAATAATTATTTTCATGCCCCTTCTTAACTGTGCCCCTAGGTGTCATGAATAAGAACTAGTAAAGAATAAACAGTTTAACTACCAAAGAGCTGTGTTTTAAGAGAGGTCAGTATGTAATTGACTATTTCAAATGTGACAGAGTGACAGTTCACTTGAAATAACATTTTTTAATTAATTTATTTATTACCAGGTAAATATTGGTGTTAGTAGCTTGGGGAGAATTTATTATTCCGAGCATTTATTACCCTACTTAGTTACATTTTTACATTTTACATTTTATTACATTTTTATAGTCACCATTAACTTGCTGATAAGTTTAATGCAGTGACAGAATTTGATAATATGTCATGGCCTTCTACACGCTGATAAGATACTCGAGACCGATAGAGCTAAATGTGAGAGGGTCATTTACAAGCTAAGGCATTACACCAGGTTCATCATGATTAGGATAATAATTTTGGTAGAAGCAGTAAAATCACTATACTAAGGCAAAACTGTTACTTTCATCACTGAGTTCCACATTAATTTAACACATTCCTCTGACAGATAACAGATAAAAGATACTTATTTATATATTGTAGGTACCACAGTTCTGCTCATGAAAGCAACATCTGCAACTGGATTGATAATGCAGCATCGGTTAAACTTTGTGGCTACTGGTCTGATTGTTGAGCCTGGTCTAACGGCTATGCCTGGTCCAACTGAAGTTGCAGTTCGAGTAACAGCATCATTGAATACCAGCAACCTGCTTACAGAAACTCAAAATAATTTGCAGATAGGGCAATTGGTGATCTGGCCAAAGAAAAGCATGGCAATTTTTCAAAGGAATCCTGTATTTGTGAATATTCATAACCAGTCAGGATGTAAGTTGAAACAAGAAGACAACAAAATCACTCATGGCCTGAATAACAATAAATAGGTGAAACTACACATTTGTGCACATACAAAATATATTTTTAAGGAAGATGTGTTTACACCTTGTTAAGGCAGGTGTTAAGCATCACATGGGTGTCCCAATGCCACTTGTCATTTTGTAGCTACACTCACCTGGTAGTATTTAAAAACATGCTATACTTATTTAATTAAAAAAGAAACTTCCTTGGCAGGGTTTTCAGGAAAATGTGGTAACATCTCTCAAAGATTACGTTGTTTAGGCTAAAATATTGCTAATTGATGTTGTTCCAGGAAAACCATACCCACTCCTTGAGAAAGGTGATTGTAACTTTTGGGGGAAGGGGTGGTTTCAAATACTACAGTTTTGTAATAGAGAAATGTTGAAAGCTTAACTGAAATTTCTAACAGGGTGTGAGTGTGTGTGTGGGCAGGGGGGGGGGGAAGTGTGGAGGGCTACGTAAATATTCACAAATTATTATTTGTATAAGTATTCATTCAAGTACATCATTTTCTACTTCATTTATTCTACACACATGATTAAATGGGTGAATACAGTATTTAAAAACAACAATTTGGTTACACTCTAAGAGAAATGATGAGCATTAAATTACCAAATGAAACAAAAATTTTGAGATAATAATTTTTGAATTTACATTTTTTTCACACAGCACAAACAGAACCTTCCATGCCACGTGCATCAATAGGGCAGAGCAAAACAACAGTAACTGTGGCCACAAAGGACAGTGGACAAAAAGGTATCTCAATTCTGCATTCATTTACCTATGTATATTTACATTCATCCATCAATGCTAACGGTCATAACACAATTCTTGTTTAGGAGGGCTAAAATAATTTCTTATCAATACTAACAAAGCTGATAATAATGTGTTTAATTCATAAAATGATTATGATTATTTTATTCTGCAAATGGAGACAAGCTATCACTCATGTATCTTTTTCATCCTAATTCCTAGAAGACAAAGAGGCAAGTGACCATGTCACCAACTATGCCAGACAAGTCATTCAAATGGGCCTGATGCTGATGAATTTAAATGACACAGAAGGAGAAGGTGATGGTGCAAGGAGTGTATTAAACTGGAAGATTCTTCTTCTTTATTTTCGGTCACGCAAGAGGGGGCAGAAATACGCATTTGAGGCAATGAGGTTTCTATCAAACGTTAAGGCACTATATAGTGCAAAAATGGCACATCGTGCTATACATGGACGGTTTGTGAACCAGTTAGGCGGTGACGGAAGAAATGTTGCGAATGACCTGAAGCAAGAGCATCACGTCAAGAAGAATAAAAAGTTCATTACTAAAACCGGGGCTCAAAAGACTCTCAAGGCGGTCACCCGAGCTACAGGTGCTTCAAATGGAGTTGATGACATAAATACCAATCTTGAGGAACAAACAAAGATCCACAGACCCTCGAGCAAACACACCATTGCTAGTGCAGAGGAGGACGAGAAACAAATGGTCAAAATCTTGAGAGGTTTAAAACCATTTGTCTTAATTCCAAACAGGAAGCACACCCATTTCCCTCACATCTCAGAAAGCCCCATGGATGAACTTGATGTAATGCTTTTCAAGACCTGGCTTACAAGACATAGGAATCAACTTGCAAGCAACAGAAATGCTGAATATCAGGCTGAAGATGAAGATGGAGTTGAAAGTGATGATGATGAAACAAGTGCAGATGGCAACATTCTAGATGGAGAAGAATCCAGTGATTCAAGTGAAGATGAATGAAATTGACATCACTTATAAACTTAGCCAAAAACACTGGCCATTAATCAACTAATTAGTTATCAATAAATTCAATAAATTCCAACATACTTACCCTCCTCCCCCCACTGCTAAACCTTGAAAAAGCTTTTAAATGTCTAGTGGTGTGGACAAATTGCTTAAATGCCTATGGCCAGAGTGTGGGATCACATCCAGGGGCGGAATCTAGTTACACCCCTCAAAGGTGTTACAGAACACAGGTGATACAATAGCAAAGAAACTCAGCATTTTACCAGAAACATGAGGATATATCAACTGTCCTGGGATAGGCTAATACTTTGACCCAGGAGTACGGATGTGAGAAAAGGCCTGACTCACGCAGTGTCGGGGGATTGGCACTGTTGGAAATGAGTGCTTCATGATTTTTTCAAATGAAGGTCTCTGGGCAAGAATGTCCAAAGTGACTTTGTGAAATTAATGACTTGTTATTGTCAAGGTACTTGAAACAGATACAAAATGGGGGAAAAATTCACATCTTTGAGAAAATGTTTTAGGAATAAGGACACCTGTATGTATTTTTAAAATTTTTTCTATTTGAAAAACAAGGGATTTATTGACCTAGTTGACATCCTGTCATTTACAACATCAGTCTTCAATCCAGGCAAGTGAGTCCCTTTTGAGGCACAAAAAGGAAGATTTCAGATTTTACAAATGGTCACTTAGGATGTTCTGCCCAGAGCCCTTCAAATAATACTAGTAACAAATAAACAGCCAAACCTCATTTACAGACAGTAACACAGACAGTTGACCAGAAAAACTTAACAGAAAAATGGGCATGTAAAAATGAAGCCACACAAATTTCCTGAGTGTCAATGGCTAAAATGCTTGCAAGAGGTAACACCTTGAGGGACTTTTATCACAGTTCACAGTACTCAGTTCTTTATAGTAATATAATTAGTGTAAAAGAAGAGCAATCATGAAATTGCAAGTTGATTCATGGTAGTATCCAACCTTGCCTTGATTTGACAATCACCACAGCAACAGGTTGCAGCACAGTTATCACAGCACAGGTGCAATGTACATTCTCCTTCACTGACAGGGAGACTAAACCCAAAGTATTCTAGAATAATTTTTCGCCTACAGTCACTTGTGGTAACAAAATTTCTCATTACGTGCTGCAAATGTTCCTTGGCTTTACTGATGTCATAAGAGTTGAAAAAAACTCTAGATACGGCTGGCTTTCCATCTCGACCCACTCTTCCACTCTCCTGGAAAAATTCCTCCATGGTGCTGGGAACACCAATGTGCACGACTTCTCGGATATGAGGGCAATCAACACCAATACCAAATGCCACAGTCACAAAGAGAACTCTGATTTTCCCTGGGCCTTTGATCAAGTCATCAAGGATGTCATTCTTTTCCTTTTCAGGGTATGTGGCATGAAACTGGGCAAAAAGTCTGTTTTTGGCTAATTTCAAGGAGCCCTTGGGAGTGTATTGCTCTACACCAAAATGGTGATCAAAAATGCTGAAACATTCCCCACAAATTTGCAAGTTTGAATAAAAGACAGTTAGGGGCATTTGCTCTCTCATATCCTTAAGTTTGGCGATGTAAGGCAACAACAGAACCTCAATTTTATCATCACCTGAATGTTGTCGTCTTGATGCTGTGTAGAAAATGTTACTTCTGTTTGGGTTAACTGCGATTGTCACTGGATCTGTCATGCCTAAGGAACTTGAAATGGCACGTCCTGTCCGCTCAGTTGCGGCTGCAGTTAGGGCAACTATTGGCACTTTTGGGAACAAGGCACTCAGCATACTTAGTTGAGCATAAGCAGGTCTGAAATTCTTCCTGAAGATGTCGTTTAGAAATAAATAAATTGTCAAAATGTACAGTATCGTTGTTTAATTTAACAAGTTAGAAATATTATTTATCCCAAAAAGTCAGAATATAATTCCAACAGAGACGTTGAAAAATACAATTTAACCAATAGGGAGTGCACTCAGTCTGATAGTTTGAAAAACGCCTTCAAATGCGCTACTGACAGCCTGTCAAGTAGAGATTTTTCACAATTCTCGACTGCCATATCAACTATTTTTGAAAACAAAAAAGAATTAACGGACTGAAGGAACAGGCTACAATCCATATTAATGTAAATACAGTGTCAGATAAATAATCAGTAGATAACATGGGTGACCTGCATTTAAAACTGTTGATATTCCACCGTTATCAACAAGAAGTATACATCTTGATGCAGAGTTAAAATTCTGCTTATTTTATTAATGATTCCAGTCTAATACGATAAAGATTGGGAGCCTACTTTATGAGTTAAGATAAAGCCTGCTATGAATACTCATGAAAATAAAGTAAAAGAGAAATTTACTTGCCATTCTTCTATAAGATGGGCTTCATCTACTACAACAGCTCTCATCTTCTCCCTGACCTGATCGCTGTCCAACACTTTTCTTAAGTTTCCTAGGAATGCCTCGGGGTGGCCGTAGATAATTCTAAATTTTGCTTGCGCGATTCCTTGAATATCTGCATCCGATACAGAGTCACCACAACGAATTATCAACGTTTTAACATTCAAATTGTCAAGCTTTATTATCTGATCTCTCATGAGTGCGTTTAATGGTGAAACAACCAAAATGAAAGAACCATTCGTATAAAGCCAAGAGTCAAACACAAATGGTAACATCTGAAAAATCAAAGATTTTCCAAAACCTGTAGGCAAAACAACTAAAACGTCTTTCTTTCTCACAACAACGTTTTTTACCGCGTTTTCCTGCTCTTTTCGAAGTGTTAATGTCCCCAGATTTAGACAACGTAAAGCTGTTAACAAGGATTCCTTGAATTTAATGTCTGCTGAGGCCGCCATTATGATTTGTCGAGCTTGCGCAGAACGACCGGAACTCCTAAATTCTAGGACTTCCGGATTCTGTGTCCCCAGAGCCCTTTGGCCCTCGTGCTCAGTCTCCGACGGTTAAGAGGGCCAAGCGGCTCTGGGGACGAGAATGTGTATCAGCAATAATTTAAATCTTTCACTTTTAATTTTTACTGTTTGGAAATGAAGATTAGTGAGACTGTCAACAATACCATTAGCGCCACTACGTTGTTATTGCGTTACTTTCAGCGGTATCTAGCGCGCGCATGCGCCCGTGGCTCATCTTTGTAATTCCTTGCGGTTCTCGTTCGGTCTTCAGTAAACCTTCGTTAAGACACAGTTTGTTCCTTATTGGCGTGGTGGCAGTGGCTTTTACCCACGTACGGTGGACCCTAACACAAGTGTGGTCGTCTGGAACCTGTGACCCTTATTTTCACGAAGTGCGAAGATCAACAAATCAACGTGAATTCGCCGTAACCGCTCGTGTAGGAAAACCAACATGGCCGCCGCTCCCAGAGCGCCTAAACAATGGCAGCTTACGAAAAACGAGACCATCACCTCGTACGAAAGTTGGAGGAAAAACTTAGTCTACATCTTATCCCTGGACAAGAACTTTGTCCCATTTTTAGAGGCCACATGGCAAAAACAAACCGCCGCCAACCCTCGAAGAGGCCTTACGAATGACGGCTTGTCTGTACCTGAGGCACAACGACTTACTGCCGCTCAGAAAAATGCCCACCTGGATCTTCTGCTCGGACAGATTGCCAATTTTTGCCCCGTGATCTCCAGGAACTCCATAGTAAAGCACTCTACCTCTCTGAATGACATTTGGCAGAAAATTCGCCAGCATTTTGGGTTCCAGTCCTCCGGAGCCCATTTCCTCGACCTTGCAAGCATCAGCCTCCAAACTGCTGAGCGACCAGAGGACTTATTCCAACGCCTCATGGCCTTCTTCAAGACAACCTCCTTGCAGTTAATGGTGGCTTAACCCACCACGGTGAGCAGGTGACCGCAGATGAAGATCTTTCCCCATCGCCGAGAACACTATAGTAGTTCTGTGGCTGCAGCTGATCCACCCTGGCCTACCATTACTGGTAAAGCAGAAGTATGGTTCTGAGTTGCGTAACAAGACCCTTGCCTCACTCAAGCCAGAGATCTCACAAGCACTTAATTCCCTCCTTGATGAACTACGCTCCATAGAGGACACCAAAGCCATGCGTATTAGCAATGTCAACCCCAGACGCACCTCTAATGGCGGACAGGGCCAACCACGCCGCCGTCCATTTGTATCTTGTATTCTCTGCAAAACCGCTGGACGCCCTCACAACACCCATGATCTAATGGAGTGCCGTTACCTGCCTGATCGTGACAGGAGACCATTGGCCCGCTCACGTCTTATAAACGACGATCCTGATGAGTTTGCGACCGGCGACTGTGGCCCTTATGATGAGTGTTGCGATCATGCCCTCCCGCCTGAGCACAGTGATGTACCTACTGCACCTACTGCACTCCGTGTCAGCATCATTCAATCACCTGTTCTCAACACCTTTTACCACGAGCACCCCGTGCAGCTCACCCTTGATACTGGCGCCACGTCTAACATGGTTCGTGCCTCGGCCGCTAAGTTATATGGCCTACCTGTTACCCCAGCTTCTCAGATGGCCCGCCAAGCCGATGGAGTTACCCCTATGGATGTGGTGGGTGAAGTGCATTGCACTCTCACTCGTGGACAGCAAGCATTTAAACTAGACGCCCTAGTTGTTCGCCAACTCGATGTTGACATTTTAGCGGGAAACCCCTTCCTGGCCCAAAACGACATCGGCATCCGTCCTGCCAGGCGCCAAATTGTAATCGGCGGGTCTGACGTAATCCACTATGGTACTGCTTCCAAACACACTACTCAACCAGCTGTGCGACGCACCCAGTCCTTTCTCCTACGCAACCCGCAACGCACAGTTATACTGCCAGGAGAGTACGTTCAGCTTGACACCCCTTGTGATTCTGACCCAGATACGTTATGGGCCCTTGAACCCCGACTAGACTGTCCATCCAACACCCCCCTCAAGGCAGAAGGAGCATGGCCCCCACCTCAACAAGTCCTCTCTGTGGACCACGCTGTACGCATAACCAATACGACTGA